AACACTGATCTCCACTCAGCCCTGTTGGTATGTATATGTATGTATCGCTCTCTTTTCTCTCGTTTGTGTGTTCATGTCCTTCCTTCAAGGCTGAAATGGTGGGGTGGGGGGTTGGTTATATACACTGGAGAAAATATTTCATACCAACACTACACACACACACATTCACACACATCCACAGCAGTCTTCCCAGCAGGGTGTGGAGAGTCTAACCTTGTTTTGCGCCTCTCCTCTGCTTGGGCAAGTTCAATGATTTTAACCATTTTTAAAAGCTCTAAGTGGGTCAGCTGTACATAAATGTGTCTGAGAGAAATGCCGAGACAGACAGACAAAGGGAGGGCAGGTCACTGCTGCCACACATTTCCCCACATGCTATCTATGGGTTTTGTGCCATGCATGTGTTTGTGTTTGTTTTATATTTGGAAAGTTGACGTGTCCTGTGTGACGTTGTGACGTTGTACTCCATATAAAACTGCTGTAAGTTTCTAATTATTTGCTCATTCTTTTATTCGGTAACACTTTATTTCGATAGTCCACTTTAGACATTCTATTAACAGTAAGTAACTTTGCAACTACATGTCAACTAGCAGTTAGTAGAGTATTAGTAGACTGTCTGCTTAATATCTTCTAACACTTTCCTTGTCAACTTATTCTACTAACCCTAAACCTACCCTAACAGTCTACTCTGAGAGTTAGTAGACATGTAGTTGCAAATTAATGAGAATTAGTTGACATGTAGTTGACATGTAGTTACAAAGTTACTTATAGTTAATAGAATGTCTAAAGTGGACTATTGAAATAAAGTGTAACCTTTTATTCATTCATTTTTGTGAATGCAGCTTTTATGACTTTAATTTTCTATACTTTATTCAGTTGTTACATCACAGGACCATTTAATATGAACTAGTGAAGGCAAATAAGGCTGTTAAGATGTTTGTATTCACTTTAAATTTCAATGACGTGTCATGCACAAAACATACGAAAATGTATGGCCACAAATGCAAAAGCAACTTAAAATCTTCTTGGGAAAGCTTTTTGTGTGTCCCATGTGAGATTTAGATATCATCTGATTAGAGTGCACCCCACTGTTTCCTGTGTGTAACTACAAACTCCGCATAAGCCATGATGTCCAATTCACAAACTAATGACTCGTCTGTGAACTTTTTTTTTTTTTTATGAGTCGGTCAAAAAAGATTAATAAAACAGCCTCAACCTTGCTGGTTTGAAACAGACTCAATGAGTCGATGAATCCTTCATAGCCATTATGGATTTCACAACTGATTCTTATTCTCTCTCACTAAACCGCAAGTCTTCGACTCGAAATGAAACAGGAGCAATTGCTGTGATTGGTAGCTACACTTTTGTTTCGGACACTTTAGACTTTTGGTGTATACATTAATTAATATATTCTATAATACAGTGCTTAAAAAGAAATATTAAATATTTTACAAAAATATCAGGTCTCTTGCTTGACTATGAGGTCCAATTGTAATCAACTGTAATGAGAACTTTTTATGGGTGACATGTAGGAAAAAATATAAACTCCACATTTTTATTTATATTTAAATAGCACAATTACTATCAGAATGTATGAAGAAACCACCCTATAGTTTATATAACTTAAATCATTTAAATATATATATATACCAAAACAGCATTTCATCACAGCACACAGCAGTGACTGTTGTCCTAAATATTTTAATTTTATTTTATTTTATTTTATTTTTGTCTGAATGTGTCAACTACCCTTATGTCTTACAGCTTAGCCCGTACTGAAGAGTTCATATTAGGGACACAAATGATATCTTGATTTATTGTAATGAAACTGACAAGGAGGTCTTAGACTAAATGCCTCCTTTAATTTTATTCAGTGTGTATAAGAAAGAAGCCTTGTTGTGTCAGCTTCTGTGCTTTGTACCCGGAGGAGACCGAGAGACAGAGATAGAGAGGACATTCAGCAATCCAAGCCCTCATCAGTATTTTATTAAGGGAACGAGAGGGTTTTGCCTGCTTTCCACACACACAAATGCACATTCCTGCTCTTCGTACTCACATTTCCAGCCGCCAGAATCTACAGACGTACTCTGTCAATGTCAAACACATTTACCTATCCTCTCTGATTCTTTGTTTTGTGTGTGTGTGTGCGTGTGTGTGTGCGTGTGTGTGTGTGTTGTTGCTGTTTTAGCAAGAACGGCAACGATTAAACCCATCTGCACCAAATGCTCTCTCTCTGTCTGTTCAAAGGCAGCTCATGTTTAATTCTCTCGTTTTTTCATCTTACTGTGGGGGGGAGAGAGGAGGGGACAGATGCTAGAGGAAGAGAGAGAGGGAGGGAGGAGAGGAGTGTCAGTGTAGAGACACCGAGAGAGTCTGACTCCAGACAGGAGAATGAGGCAGACATGCAGAAAAAGCATAGTGTGTGTGAGCGACACTGAGAAAGAGAGAGTATGTGAGTTTAGTGAGGGAAGAAGAGAGAGAGAGAGAGAGAAGGAGGGAGGGAGAAAGTGGAGGCGGAAAGGGAGAGACAGACAGGAGGCAGACAGAGTGAGACAGTCTTGGCGACTGAGTTCTGGGAGCTGCTTTACACACACACACACACACACACATACATGTTCTAAAAGTATCTGAGTGATATACACAGTCTATAAAAAATATCCACCTACACAAGAACTCTGATTGTTTAATATCAATGGACTAGCTCAGATTTATTCAGGACTGAGGCAAAAGCAGCCTCTTGGATGTTCTTGTTAGTCATTCTCGTCTGTTTAAGATGTGTACAATATGAAGTTATGTCAAAGCAAATCATGTTTATTTTAAATACATATAACATGAGCATACTTTTCAAGCAAAAACATATTTAAAAGGTTAGGTTTTAAATGTAAAAACAATAGATATGCTGTTTACAATGAAGACAAATATACTGTATTTGTTGGTCAGTCTTTAAAAACCAAAATGAGCATATAATCTATGAAAGCCTGTTTCCGACATATATGAAAAAATCTAAACTATGTAAAAAAAATGATGTAATTATGAGATAAATCTTATTTTGATATAAAAAGCCAGAATTATGACTTACTAAATTAAAATTAGTTGAAAGTGGGATGATAAGTTATAACTGATTTTATAATTTTGACTTTTTACAGTATATCATAATTATGATCAATTTTTTGTCATGATCATTACTTTTATCTTATATTAAATTATGACTTAATGCTTTTTTGTTGAAATTTGATTTTAAAAAACGTTTTGTTTTTTTGTATGTGGCAGAAATTAGCATCCATAGTAATGCAGTGCCGTTCACTACCGAAAACAAGTATTATTACCCTTAGTATAATTTAAATCAGCAGATCCTCATTCACGAACAAGACCGCTCATTCATTCAGTGTCAATCTGAGTCTTTGAATTCACATTCAATATAGTGACTTGTTCAGTGAAGTGCATGTTCATTCAATAGTTCAAACCAATGAAATGTTCACATTCTGTGCTCAGATGCTATTGGCTTGTGCTCTGATTATTCTCTGAAGGCAGGAAAACCCAAGCAGTCCAACATTTTGAACAAGAGAGATGTGAACTAAAAATACCAGTGCGTAGAAATGAATGAGAACTGTCCAGTTGTTTAAAGGGTTAATTCAAAACCACAAATTAATTCATGAATGAAATGCCAATATGTTTCACTCTGTATCGTTGTCATGCTGTAAATTCCTGTTGAGTCTATAATTCCCGGCTGAAGTTGCTAAACTGCTCTCTTTGTATATTTAAAATCAGTTTATACAAACTAGGCTACATGACCAGCCACGTGTGTGATGACTTTTGGATTTGGTTAGACACTGTGTTTGTGTTACAGCGGGTTATATAAATGTCAGATTGAGTCTAACGCGACATGAAGCCATGTGTTGACAGTGATGACTGGCTGTTTGACAGCTCTAGTGTATCTGCTTGCCAGATATAGTACATTTACCTATATGCATGGTGCTTTTTCATATTTGTTCATGTCTTTATGTCAAATCTATGTAACTTCAATAGTGACCATGCTAGCTCTGTTTCATATCAGTGCCTCTGCATGTAAAAGTCTTAAAAACGTAAAAATGCATTGAACTTGGGTAATTTGACATATTTCTGACTGTGTATTGATTTGGAAATAATATAGGATGGGACTTGATTTGATTGACTGGATCATTAAAAGTTAGGTTTGATATTGGATTATATTTTTGCCTGCTGATATGAACTTGGTGACGTCAGCAGAAAATAAAACGTGCTTCAGAGGCACAGAAGGTACATTTGGAGTAGCAAAATCTTCAGTTCAGACAGTTTATGTCTGTTCTTTTTCGTTATTATTGTCAAATATTTTCATTATAGTTCAGTATGACAAAGGATCATGTGTCCAAATGCCCTCATCCTCAGAAACCATGACCAAAACTACCCAAACTAAAAGAAAATATGACCCAGACGACATTAAATACTGGTACGGGTTCAATTTCAGCGAGGACAAACATGGTTGGTGCTTTGTTTAGTGAATTATTGGCTCCTGAGAGCATGAAAGTCAAAAGTTCAGAAGGCCATCAAAGTTCAAACGACAACCAAACACTCCAAACTACAAAGAAGAGCCTGTGGTTAGTCTGATCTTAATATATTGCAGGAAAATGGCCAGTTTATAGTTAAGATTAATACCATTTAATGTTGTATTTCAGAGACATTCTCATTTACTTTTGCATCGTAAACAATTTTGGGTCTGCGTTGGGTTGTCACTCGGTGTTCTAATGTAAAATCTGAGCCTGAAGCCAAAGCGGTTGAGAAGCAGTGATCTAGACAGCAGCTCTTGCTGTGGTTGATGCTGATTCAGTCTTTTCTCCTCTCAGCGCCTTCCTGCTCCTGTTTGGGTGTGTTTCTCTCTCTCTCTCTCTCTCTCTCTCGCTCTCTCTCTCTCTTTCTCTCTCTCTTCTACCATTCATTCTGTCTGACATGCAGTCGTTTGTTGTTGTCTTTTCCTTGCCTTCTTCCAGACACCCTGTGGAGAGAGTGATGAAGGAGAATACAGGAGAATACAGAAGAGGGAGAAAATGACGAGGAGGGAGAGGGAAAAAAAGAGGGTGGTGGCGTAAAACTAGCGCTGAGCGTTTGAGCCTTTGTTCTACTTTTATGTTGAGCAGGAATAAAAAATGCTGCGGTGCGGTTAGAGAATTACCAGATCTGAGTTTGATTCGTGCATTTAAATGTGTGCTGTCGCTTCAATAAGGATGTGTTTTCTTGAGCAGGTTAAAGATATCAGTCAAGTGCAGTGTGTCACTGTTTCAACAAAATTGATTTCTCTCTCTCGTGCTTTTTCTCCCCATCCATCTCATCTGTCCCAATAATGCACTCCCAGCTATAAATATATTATTTTAAGGGTGTAGAATACAACAGTCACAAGCATCTATAAAATTGCCTTCATTTACTGGTGATAGTACGCTACAAATGTTTCAGTGCCGAATATCAGAGCATCATATCATGGTGTAGAACTGTGCAAGTCAAAAGTATAGCCTTATTTTAGACCAAAAAAGCAATTTCAGGGTATTTTGGAAGTAGCTAGGAATTTAAAATCACCTTTTCAACCATGCAAAAGAGTAAAAAGCAATGGAAATGTCTGAAGTGAGGATGCATTTTGTAGTTGCGCTCAGCTCTAAATATTTAATCAGCTGGATATTGCTCTTCTGTAGAGTAAAACAAGCTCACATAGTGACCATTACAAATGATTGCTTTGAGTCATTCTTTTGAATGAATCAGTCAATCTGGTTCACAATTTGGTCTTAATGGTTCATTAGCAAATCAGTCTAAATTAGACTGTTATTTATTTGTTTATTTTAATTTCGTATCTAGTAACCACAGATGATTAGAAAGGTTGTGGTAAATCCACTGGTCATTAACACAATCCATCTAAAAGATTTGCATAGCAGAAATAAATGCTCTGATTTATTGCATCTATTCAAACCACCGACCTATAAACAACCACATTTATACACTCATGCAAACATCCTCCTCACGACTAGAAATGATTCCAACAGGCCTATTGTAGAGTACAAAGTGAAATCTTTCAGATTGTGCAACACTGAAGGTTCAGTCATAACACTGTGGTTTATTTTGTGAAATCTACTCAACTAATGCCACAAGCCGTAGACACACCCAATCCTATTGGCCGAGGGACATGCGGAGGGTCGTGGTTACGATCCACTAAGCTACCAAGTCGACCACTTGTAGACATTACGCCCACAATGTGTTTGTTCCTGTCTGTTATACACGTCTGTGTGTGTGTGTGTGTGTGTGTGTGTGTGTGTGTAACAAACCAGACATGTGTGTGTGTGTACCTGTTTTTCTAATACACACAGACTCATGGGGACTTGTGTCACGGTGGGGACCTAAATTGAGGTCCCCACGGGTAAACAAGCTAATAAATCACACAGAATGAAGTTTTTTGAAAATCTAAAAATGCAGAAAGTTTCCTGTAAGGGGTAGGTTTAGGTGTAGGGTTGGTGTAGGGCAATAGAATATACGGTCTGTACAGTTGAAAAACCATTACGCCTATGGAGAGTCCCCACAAGGATAGCAAACCAGACAAGTCTGTGTGTATGTGTGTGTAACAAACCAGACGTGTGTGTGTGTGTGTGTGTGTGTGTGTGTGTGAGAACATCCTTATGCACCTGTTCACGCCCTGTCTAATCAGTCATTTTTCTTGCTCTCAAACATGGTTTCACATTTACTCACTCCTTCATTTTGCCCTCATTCTGCACCATTAACACGGTTCTGTATTAGCAGAAAAATCTCTGTCAAAAATCAGAAATGTTGCTGCTAATTACAGAACAATTCTAATAAATGTCCTGCTTCTCTTCATTTCCGTGCCTCTCACACTTCAGGAATACAACAACCAGCATTAGACTGTTTTTTGTATACACGACCTTTCAAAAGTAAGACTTTTTTATGTTTTTGAAAGAAGTCTCATCAAGGCTGCATTTATTTGATCATAAATACAGTAAAAACTGTAATATTGTAAAATATTATTATGATTTAAAATAACTGAGTTCTATTTTAATATATTTTAACTGTAATTCATTCCTGTGATGGCAAAGCTGAATTTTCTGCAACCATTAATCCAGTCTTCAGTGTCACATGATCCTTCAGAAATTATTCTAATATGCTGATTTGATGTTTAAATAAAATATCAATATTAAAAACAGCTGTACTGCCTATTTTTTATTTTGATTTTTGGAGTCTTTGATGAATAGAAAGTTCAAAAGAACAGCATTTATTTGCCATATAAAGTTGCTTTTGTATCAATGTAAAAGTCTTTAATGTCTCTTTCAATAAAAGTCTTTAATGTCATTTGAATGCATCCTTGCTAAATAAAGATAATTTCTTTCAAAAAAAAAAAAAATCCTACCGACCCTAAATATTTGAATGGTTTGTACCAGTTTTTTCTAAAACTGGTTGTCTGTAATAATGGTGGATGAATCTCCATGTCAACGATTCCAGTATAACACTAACATATTGCAATAACATACTTTACAGAATAATTTAGACAAGATTAAAACCCGGATTAAAGTTGGCAGTCCAGCAAATGTTACTAAAGTGAATCCATCTCTTACATTCTATCCCATTTTATTCCCTCCCCAACAGGGGATCATCACACACATGCATGTTCATTCCTGCCTCCTCTGTCGCACTCTTGCAGAGGAACATATGGGCGGGAATGTGGCATGCATAATTAAACAGATCACCAATAACTTTAACAACACCAGTTTGTTTCAAAAAATAAATTCAAATTCTGCCTCATTAATTTTTTTCCAGCATGATTTGTTCTCAACTTTAAGAATTGCTCATCGAAACATTCCCTTGAATCATTAAATTGTTGAACATGAGTCAAGTGCTCTGTATAATGCCTTTTAAATTGCGCATGAGGTACTTGGCTGTGTTTCGATGTTTAATACAAGTAGCTAATGACAAGAGTAAGAGGGTGAAAACGGAGGTTTCATTTGGTTTCCTCCTTTAAAGGGGTCATATGATGTGATTTCAAGTTTTCCTTTCTCTTTGGAGTGTTACAAGCTCTTGGTGCATAAAGAAGATCTGTAAAGTTGCAAAGACTAAAGTCTCAAATACAAAGAGATATTCTTTATAAAAGTTAAGACTCTGCCACGCCTACCTAAAACGGCTCGTTCTAACACGCCCCCACATATGTACGTCACTATGTTGAAATATTAGCATAATGCCGCCCAAATATGCACACAAAGAAAGAAGGCGTGGTTTCAGGAACAGCAGTCGTGTTGATGCAGCCATGGTTTGAGAGAGGCGGGGCATAGAGGACCTACAATAATGTACAGTATTTGAAAAATAATGTGTTTTTTGAACATTAAAGCATGTCAACCTATTCTGTTACACCAAATACACAAAATAATGATCTTTAAAATAGCATCATATGACCCCTTTAAATAACAGTAAATAAACGTAATGACATGCCACTGTGGCCCCTTAGCATGTGATTTGTGTTTGCGTGTTTGGCATCTGTCAGTTTTAATGGTGGTGGCTCCTCCACTCATCCCATGGGGCTTTATCTTCCACTCAGCACACAAATCTCCCAATCAATTTACCAAATGAAACCGGGTGTGCAGTGCTTAAAAGAACAGTCCATGCTTACTGAGCATGAGAGTGAGATGGCAAGAGAGAGAGAGAATATATTGTTTATGTGACCTGTTCCCCGGCATTAACCTAATTCATTCATCCAGGATTACGATGCGTTATTAAAGAAACAGTGGAGGGTGAAAGAGAGTGAAAACAAGAGTAGACGTTCAAGAAACTAAGACAGAATAAGAGACAGAGGGAAGAATGAGAGAGGAAGAGAGATGGGCCAATCGATCTTGAAATATCAATACGTCTGATGCCGATTAAGAAGGTTGATCCTGCATTAAAAATATCTGTTTTAACAATAACCATTTAGTTATTTATTCAGCAAGAAAGTTAATGTGTATCATAAACGTCAAAGTTGTTAAATTAACTGTCAGCAAGAAAAGCATCACGCAGTGGCATTTTATTTCATATATATCAATAACAAACAAGTTAAATGTGGCATTTATCTTTTTGTGGCATTTACAGCAGAAACTCACTATACTATAGAAGCTGTTAAATGTTTTATATTTGATGTTAGTAATGTTTTTGTTGTATTGTTTAATGACTGAAATTACCCATAATTATCTCAGAAAATCACAATAACATTAAGGTAATCAGTGTTGACTTTATTGTACTTGATATTTGATTGATAAAGAAATAAGTTATAACAACCTGAAGCCTCAATTGTTTAGTGTTTTCACATCTTTTTGGTTGCTCCTCCCCTTCCTGATCAAACTGAAGCTCTGGTTGTCATACTAAGAAAAAGGAGTAGAAAGAGCAGCCACATAAAAACACATGGGTTTTTTTATAGATTATCTCACATTTCTGCATCATGACGAGAGAGGGGAGTGATACAGAGATACTCAGTTAATAAAGAGAGAAAGTGCTCAAGGACAGTGTGTGTGTGTGTGTGTGTGTGTGTGTGTGTGTGTGTGGTGTGTGTGTGTGTGTGTGTGTGTGTTTGTGTCTGTGTGTGTGTGTGTGTGTGTGTGTGTGTGTGTGTTTTTTATGTACATGTTATCAGTGGATTTAAATTGCTAACCTTGCATGAGGAGAGCCAAGAATTGGTGGATCTCAAGGACCTTGAACGGGCTGCAGATGTCACAGAACACACACACACATCTCATGCATTATTTGGAATACTTGATTCTGATTGGTCAGTCATGGCATACTGGGGTCAGTTTATGTGTAATGTTAAACTGTAATTGGTAAACTGTATATTTGACCATTGTCCCTGGTAAGCAGCTTTTTGTGCTTCAGTGCTTTTTAAAGTAAAAATACGTATATTTAGCATTATCATAGCATTTAAAAGTTTGGGGTCAGTAAGATTTTTTTTTTTCAAGGAAATTCATATTTTTATACAGCAAGGATGCATTTAGTTGATCAAAAGCGACAGCAAAGGCATTTGTAATGTTACAAAACATTTCTATTTAATATATAAATGCTGTTCTTTTGAACTTTTATTCATAAA